ATATGGTAGCCCAACCTCACCCAGACAAATTTGTGGCAAGGAGTAGTCAGCAAGGAAGAGCTTGGCAGATTCCCCAGTACCTGCAGCCCCCAAGGTGGCTGTTCTCCTTACCATCACTGTACTTATGCTACTGGGGGAGAGTTTCATCACATAAAGGAGACCAGGGAGTTCACAATCCAAAACCCCAAACCAAACAATGAGTCTAAGTCTAATGTCTAATGTCTAATGTCTAAGTCACCTTTTTGTTCCAGGAAACACAAATCAAAATGGATCAGCCAGGAGACACGAAAAAGATGTTATAAATACATTTTTAAAACTGTGTTTTACTTCAAAACTTGGAGAAAAATGGGGCCGCTCTGGAATCCAAAGGGACACCATTTACCCGGAGTCACTTCCTGTGAAGGAATTCCTATTGATTTCCCATCATTCTCAACTCCACTGTGGCCAGAGAACAAATTATGGAAACAACTTAATTGTACAGTCACTGGTTTTTGGTTAGACATTGAGAACAACAGCAAAAATCAATACAGGTTGCCCAACTCATCCAGTCAATGTGGCAGCTAAGGTCATTAACTCACAGAATACATGCACCTAAAAACACTGTGTTGGGAATAGTCCATGTATTTGTCACCATAGCCTGCCATACCTCCAAACACAGAGAAAACTTTTCCTACCATAAAAAAGATTAGGAAAGCAGAGGGATAAACAAAGCAGTGTGTGTGTGTGTGTGTGTGTGTGTGTCTGGAGACACTTTTCTCAGCTATACAAAGATCTTACCCAACCTATTCTCTTAAAAAGGACAACATCAGCAGGAATATTGCAGCAATACGAAGGGATAGCCAAGAAACTCTTGGGGTAATATTTACTTTGGACCAGGGGTCATCAACTCAATACCCAATTATTTCTCCTTTTAATGGACCAAGCTTCCTGATTCACCTGATTTTTTTAAAGTTCCCTTTAATTAAAAATAAACACATGCATGGGAAGACTGCAAAACCAACCAAGGATGATTCTGACACCAGAGAGCCTCAAAGAGATAATAAATGGTGGGTTGCTGCAACCCACTACTTTCTTTGGAAGTATGACCACTTGAGGTTGTAGGAGGCCTTCTGGAGATGAGAAGGGGTTACAGGGAGCAATCTCTCTCACTTGCCTTCTTACAAAATTGGTATTTTGTGATGGACTCTGTCCACCAGACTAGCCATCATAAAAATATCTACAACATCCATACAACATGGAACAAAATAGTGTACCACTGACCTAATAGACACCAAAATCAGAAGTGTGCTGATCAACTACTACTAATTGACAAAGCAGTTTTGAAATTTACTTGCATTAGGAAGAAAATACTGAGAAACACATGATAAAGAAAAGTTATGTATATACTGTATGTTGGCTTAGAGAAAGTGTATGATAAAGTGAATAGCTTGAATTATGGAATACTTTGTGTGAATATGGAATTAAAGTTTGGCTTGTGAATGTAAGTGCAGCATATAATAGACGTACAGCATATATGAGAATAAATGGAACGCTTAATATTTCAGTGTTGAATAGGAGTAAGATAAGGATGTGTCATGTTCCCTAGCTTTAATGTACTTACACATAAATGTATAGGGAGTGCTTGTGATGGCATTAGAGGTATGATAGTTGGGGATGTAAAGATAAATCTATGTAGCTGTGTTAGTTGGCTGAGAACCCAAATCATCTGCAGCAAGTGGTGGACTGTACAATGCAGCAAAGAGCATGAATCTGAAAATCAATGTGTTAAAAAAAGATAGTTGTATCTGACAAGGAAAATAGAGTTAATTTCTACATAAATGGCAAAAACAAAAACTTCTGAAAACACGGCTATGCCAGATGGCCTGGGGGCCTCGCATTGTTGGAATTGGCTGGTGGGATGATCGGCACTGCTCTCCCCCATCATCTTGAATTGTATATAGGCTTTTTATATAGAATTGTTACTAGTTATTTTAATATGGATATTTATATTTTCATTTTTTTATTGTTTCAAATTTTAACTGTGAGCCTCCCAGAGTCACCCTCTGGGGGAGATGGGCGGCATATAAATTAAATTAACAAACAAACAAACGTATGCAAATAGATAAAGAAAATTGACAGAAAGTTTATCATCGATGGAAATGGAAACATTTTGGCCAAATGCTGGTAGAAAGATAGCAGGTAGTGTTCAGTTTGTTGTGAGGAATGAATGTATGCTGAAAGAAATGAAAGTGTTGTAAGAGTTCACTTTGTTTCAGGAAAGTGAGGGAACTGAGAATTGGGTATGCTGGGAGAAACATAAAAGAAAGCTGAATGTAGTGGGAATGAGGTGCTTTTTAGGTGCACCCCTAAAACAAAAATTGGGTCAAGGAAGAATGGGTGCTGAAAGAATATTGCTTAAATGCAAAAATGAGTGACCAGTATGAAAGAAGTAAATTGAGATGGTCTAGTCCAATGTTTCTCAACCTTGGCAACGTTAAGAGGTGTGGACTTCAACTCCCAGAATTCCCCAGCCAGCTTGCTGGCTGGGGGATTCTGGGAGTTGAAGTCCACACCTCTTAACGTTGCCAAGGTTGAGAAACACTCATCTAGTCAAACAGAGAAAATGAATGAGTATTGAACTGTACAGCAAACATCCAACAGAGTAAGGAAAGGGTTAGAATGCTATTTAATTCAGGAAAGGTGTTTCAGAGCACACACGTCTGCAACTCTTTAAAGCAGCCACATAGTCTGCCAAGATTGCATAACCGCCCTCTGCAACTGCCATGATTCCAGGAAAAGATGCAGCTGCTTTAAAGAGCTGCAGACAAGTGGTATTTTTGCACCCCTGCAAGCTTGGAAACACCTTTTTGGAATCAAAGCACAGCCCTACTCAAAACTTTGGAAGCAAATGCATTTCCATCAAATGCATATGGGCCGATAAAGAGCTATGAAGACTGAGGAATTCTAAAGAACTGTTTGCCACTGCTGGCAAAGTCTCATGTCTGAGTGCACAGTCCCAAGTACGCTGGCTGGAAAACAGTGTCACAAACCCTTGAAGAATCTTCCAGCGGATGAAGCAGACTATGATCCCAAAGGCCCAAGTCCCTGGCAGACACAATGTCAAGAGGAGCCGAACCACTGAAGGGGAGCTGGCTTCTGACCCCAGCTTGACCCTCTGAGGACAAAACCTCTAAAAGATTAAGAACAGAGTGGCTAAGTAGGTATAGGGTCACCAAATTGCTGGAAAGGTTTACTAAGGATTAACAGGTTTATTTGTGCATACAAATAGTCTTTTTTGGTTAATCTCAAAGGATTAACAGTTGAGTCTAGGAGCTTGAGTCTAGTCTAAGGCAAGAACATTAAACAGCAAAGCAAATTAGCACAGAAAACAACAGAATTAGCTACTCTGGGGTTGCAATCCTGTTTGCCCACCTCCTGACCTTCAGAACCATTGGAGCCTGATTCTCTGAATTCAACTTTTTGCTCACAGCTGGAACTGTTTTGGTCAAAGAAATCTTGAAGATCTTTTTCAAACACATAAACAGGAAGGCTGATTCATTTCACAGGAAATAATGTAATAATTAATTAATCCACAGGAAATAAATAATAATCTCCAACTACTGTCCATCCCTTAAGTCTTACATATATCATATATTTCTTGTTCTGCTTAGATGTTAGCTAGCTTTGGACAGAATTATTATGGTTGGTTGCACAGTCAGCCAGATGTTTAGACTGGATTAGGCATTTTTATCCACCTATCGAGGACCTGGGATAGGCAGATGTTGTTTGACGGTGTTAAAGGTATCGCAGGAACACTGTCAAATTGCAAAAGGCAGCTGTTCCAAGTAAAGCTGCCTTTTGCAGTTGACTGATGGTGATTTTGTCAATGCCGATGGTCTTCAAGTGTGCTCCAGATGTTTTGGGATTGCCCCCAAGGCGCCTATGACTATTGGCACTATCTTTGCTTTCTTTCGCCATAGTCATTCTACTTCTATTTGCAAGTCTTTATATTTTGTGCTTTTCTCCAGTTCTTTTTCTTCTCTTCTGCTGTCTTTATTTATTTATTTATTTATTTATATTTATTATTAAAACCACCTGGCTCCCAGCAACTCTGGGTAGTTACAAATTGTTAAAAACATTTAAAAACAAGGAAACAATACACAAAAACAACACAAAAGAAAGGAACAGAGATGGCAGAGAAAACCAACCAGATGGGTACAAGGAAAAGGAAGAAAAAGGGGGTCAGTCATCCTTGTCAAAGGCCTGGGCGAAGAGCCACATCTTCAGGGCCCTTCGAAATACCATTACAGTAGGGTGGGGCCATTCGAATCTCGGAGGGAACCTCATTCCAGAGGGCAGGCGCTGCTACAGAGAAGGTGCACTTCTGGGATCCTGACAGATGGCACTGTTTAATCGGTGGAACCCAGAATGGTTAGCGCCCCATAGAAAAAGTCTAAACTTCCCATCCTGAGCAAAGGCAGAGGCACTGCTCCAGAAACCTATATTCCGTCTTTAATCTCAAATCCTACTATAGTAATTTCATCAGTTCATCTAATCCTATACCCACTGTGAACAGGAGATGTGTATAAAACTGCACTTTTAAATAACCAAGCACACACATACACACACACAAAAATATGAACTGGTCAATGTTCAAATTGTGAAAAAATTTCCACCATTTAAAAAAGGCAAAAGGTGAAGGAAAATACAAATATTGGCTCCTAGGGGTCTTTCAGAGAAGTAGTAATGAGGTACTAGCGAGAGGGAAACGTACATAAAATTTCATAAACGTACATAAAAGCATAAAATTTCAGCCAGAAAGTCTCTTGCCCATAAAGTGTGCCAGGCTGAAGACAGCAAAAGGCCCATCTTAGTTTTAAAGCAGTACCTAGAATAAGAGGTCCTGCTCAAAAAAATACAAAAGCCTTTTCACACTGCTGAACCTTCATACTCAGCTCTTCCAAACCAATGCAATTGGTCTTTAATTTCGTTTTTTCAAAACTTAGCATCCCCACACTTACTGTTTTAAGTGACAAAGGGACACTTTTTCCCAAAGTCACAGTCAATTCTCCATTTTTCTGCTGTTCATAAACTTCCAAAGCATCAACTAGCTGTGTTCCTTGGGCCAGCCGGTGTCGTTTTCTCGCCTGTAAGCCACACAAACACACCTTTGAATTCAGGAAGCTAAAAGTCTAAGTAGCAATCTTTTTTATCCCCAAAATAAAATGTTTGTCAAAATAAAAACAAGCCATTAGAAAGAGAAACAGCAATATAGGGCTGGGAGAGTTGAAGATATGAGGTCACTCCAAAGCACAAGAGCTCCTTGGAAGGCTTCCTTTGCACCAAGTAGCACATCATAGGCCATGGCATGGGGAGAAAGATCTTCCCTGAAGAGCATTGGGCCTGAAAGGCTGGCAAACACGAGATGTTCTTTATGGTGCTCCAGAGCTAATTAGGGCTTTGTAAGCTAAAGCCAAGGCCTTGGATCTGGCTGTTGTTTTTATATATATATATATATATATTAGCTATAATACACAGGAAGGATGGCATTAGCTAACCACTGTATTCTTCATGCATTGTAGCTTCTGGTTTCCTATAGAATGCATTATAGGAAGCTAGTCTTGGGGTTATCAAGATGTCTGCCACTGAGGCCAACCTATCCCTGTAGAGCAATGTTTTTCCACCCCTTGGGCATTTAAAACGGTGGGGAGTTAAAACACGAAAATACTCCCCCACCAGCGGGGGGGG